CTATTACTTGATAAATAACAGAACCGGCGGTAATATGCTCTTCGGTGGTGTTGATTAAAAAGTTGAAGAGTTTAGTACAAAGTTTAGTGGCGTTCATATTTATAGGAAAAAATAAAGCAAAAAAAAGTAGTTAGTACCGACATTTTTATATCGTGCTTCATCGCCTTACAAAGAAAGCCAATGAAAAAGATGGCTAGAAACCATATCGGGTGTAGGAAGGCGTGAAAAAAACATTATTTATATCGTGCTTCGTCGTCTTACAAGGAAAGGAAATGCGAGGTGAAAACTATATTGGGTGTGGGAAAAACCGTTTCTATATCTATTTCAGATGTAAGGTGACACCATTAAATCGGAAAAAATATAGAAATTCATGGAATGTTACGTCATAAAAATTCATGAAAGATCGAATAATTGCTTGAATTGCTCCAGATCGATTGACAAATGCTTTGGCATAGGGTTAATTTGAAGATTTGAATTATATATACAAGTACTTATCTTAAAAATGGGTCTTCTATATCCAAACATGAATGATGAAATAACTCTTTCCTGTCATCTCAAAGTAGATCTCACAATTCCCTCCAAGAATCTATAGTATTCGTATAAATCTTGACGATACTATTGAAACTTTTATGGATAGGATTAGAATAAAATTCGATTGTATAGGAGTCAGAGATCTTATAATTTCGAAGGTAGAAATCCCCAATGAGAGTACAAGCGAAGGATATATTAGAGATTATTGGCAAGAACAACTTCCCGGTATGTATGAATAGTAATAGATATTTTATGCTGAAGATTCTTATGCTATTTAATTAATATTTAGGGCAAAGTTTTACATCAAGGCAAGGTCAAATTGTTCACTTTAAAAGAATGCATCCGGAAAAATTAAATGATGATCATTAATACATAGTTGGATTTTTTTTTAATCATATTTTTGTATCTACCTTACAACGGGCAATGTTTTTCATTTCGAAATAATAAAGCAAGCGATTCCAAAGATTCATAATGCGTATGCATGATTTTAGTAACTTCGAATCAAATCAATTCTTGTGTCTTATCTCCTGATAGTTTGTGTAACTTCTCACATAAATATAAAACCATCGATCATCCAAATTTATTAACGAGATACATATGCAAATTTCTACGTATAAAAGTAACACACACGCTTCATCTTCCTCACCAATTTCTATATCCTCTACTTTGACGGAAGAAAGGTCAACACGCACGATGGCTGACGTAATCAGGAAATATAAAACGGAAAAAATTATCGATTATTTACGAAGGCAGGAAGATTTAGATCTTTGTCAGGCAGATTTCGAAATGAATTTCGGGTTTCGACTTTCTTGAGTTAACTAGGGAGGACTTTCGCAATATTGGTTTTACTTTTGGTCCAGCTACGAGACTCGCAAAATTCGTTGAAAATATATCAAACAAAAAATTAGAAGCTTCTCGTTATACAAAACTCTGGATGAGTTAAAGGACATTCTTCGTAAATACAAAGTTAATGGGGAGGATATAACGAGCATCAAGCAATTCATTCCAGGTATATAATATTTTTTCTTGGCATTTTTCCGGGATCGGCGGTCTCGCAAATTTCTTGGCAAAAACCGTTACCATTGGTAACGACCAAAATTCCAGATATGTAATAATTTATTTTTTCCATTGTATAGTATTCGAGGAAATCGATAACGACGACAAAGCCCTCGATCAATGTATGAATGAAATAACGTTGAGACTTTCGAATCTGGAAACAATGCTAGATAGTACCAATGAAGCCACACGTTGTGTATTTATTACGTCAATATTAAACGCATCTTTGGCTATTGTCCGACGAATTACCAAGGAAGAAAAAATCTATATATCATACCAAAAAGGAGTTTCCGGTGAGGAAGCATCTGTTCATGTCGACTATTCCATAAAAGGAAACGAGGATCTTATGTGTATAGCAGAAGGAAAGCCTCGTAACGTCGAAATCGGTTACCTTCAGAATATTATGCAATTAGAA